GAGAATTTTAATTAATATCATTAATATATTTTTAATTTTTAAATAATTAATAAAATAATAATATCATTAATATTTTTATAACTTTTCACTTTCCTTTTATAAATAATTAACAATCATTAATATCTCTCTTTCATTTTCCTTTTGTTTTACTTTCCTATTTTTATGAAATTTGTAGAAACAATACAAGACTATCAATATAAATGACACTATATAAAAATATCACATCATACTTTCAACAAAAATAAATGGATTCCCTACACAATACAAACTATTTTGATGGCATTTAATAAATTTGAGCTTGATCAATGTGGTGATAGCAATGAAATTATAAAATATATTCAGTTCTCGATGATCGATTAAGACATGATTAAATTGATATGTATGTTTTCTTTTAGGAAGGAAGATGACAATATTTCTCGACCTATTTCAAATCAGGGCAAACTTTAATGAAATTTTTTTTATCTTTTTAATTTTTATAGGATTTATGCCCATATTTTAGACCATTTATTCAAAATCAATTCAATAATAATTGATATTTATAAAAATTATTTTAAAACCTACTAAAATATTTATAGAAAATAAAAAAAATTCAAAATTAATTAATAAACTTGATTTATGTATGTATATGTTAATATATTGATCATTTTGCAAGAATCTACGAAAAAAATATTTTTTTATTTTATTTCTTTGGAAATTAGTAATCATTCTTGCATAAGAATCTACGAAAAAAACATATTTTTTTATTTTTATTTTCTTTGGAAATTTAGTAATATGAATATATTTGTATTATGAATTTTGAAAGTGATTTCTGGTATAATAAAATAGTATTTTTATTTTTAAAGCATCAATATAACATGTCGCTCCCGCTGAAGCGCAAGAAGACAACCAGTTACAAACTATAAATCTAACGGATGATTTCATTATAATAATATTTTTTACATTTATAAATATTAAATTTTTATTAAATAGGTTTTTTCCTTAAACAAACTAACAAAATTATAATAGGGTCATAAGTTAATAAAAATATCCAAATAATGTTAGGCTAATTAACATTGAATTAAAATAATAATTTCAATTCACTAAATTTAAATTTCATTAAAATTAATTTATTCTTATACCTTATCTAATTAAATGTAGCTATATTAAATTATTAGTATTGAGATACATTATAGAAATTAACTTATTTTACAGAAAATAGAAAATGTGTTATCATTGAGACAAATACAAAAACCAAGCATGGCGGTTTTATTTCAACCGCTACGAGACTTCGGATCATGAAATCTAGTGGGGTTAAAAATTAAATTTGAATTGTACTTTGAACCGTCAGTTTTATTTTGATTCTTAATATATTGATCATTTTGCAAGAATCTACGAAAAAAATATTTTTTTATTTTATTTCTTTGGAAATTAGTAAGTATAATATATTTGATATTTGAATTATTGAAAGTGATTATTTGGTATAATAAAAATAGTATTTTTATTTTTAAACATCATATAACATTCGCCCCGCGAAGCGCAAGAAGACAACCAGTTACAAACTAATAAATCTAACGGATGATTTCATTATAATTAATATTTTTTACATTTAATAAATATTAAATTTTTATTAAATAGTTTTTTCTATAAACAAACTAACAAAATTATAATAGGGTCATAGTTAATAAAAATTAATCAAATAATGTAGCTACATTAACAAATAGAATTAAAATAATAATTTCAATTCACTAAAATTTATTTCATTAAAATTAATTATTCTTATACCTTATCTAATTAAATGTAGCTATATTAATTATAGTATTGAGATAATTATAGAAATTACATTATTTTACAGTAAAAATAGAAAAATGTAGTTTATAATTGAGACAAATACAAAACCCATAGCATGGCCGGTTCATTCAACCGTCGACTTCGGTTCATGAAATCTGTGGTTAAAAATTAAATTTGAATTGACTCTTGAACCGTCAGTTTCAGTTTTGATTCTAGTCGGTTTCAATTATGGTTTCAGCATAATATATTTTTTTTTTAAAAAAAGAAAATTTATTTCTAGGTTTCATCTTTTTTTAGAAAAAAGTAATGTGAATTTGAAAAAAAGTATTATTAATTTGTATTTTAAACTATTTTTAGAATCAGTATTTTAAAAAATATATATTTTAGACTAGATATGCCACTTTTTTTTTTTTGCCACTTTTACCTTTTTAGACTTTTAAGCTTTTAAAAGTTTATTACGTAGTAGTAGATTTGTTTAGACTTATAAGACGATATATAATAAATTGAGTGATTATAAATTTTGGCTTAACTTATAAAAATACTTTAAACTTTGCAACTTATTACAATAACACTCTAAATTGACATTCGTCCTTTTCGTACCCCCAATTAGAAATTTAGATATATTGTCACTTTAAATTCAAAATCAGTTAGGATTTACAATATAATAATATTAAAACAGTTCCACCAAATTAGTTTTGGGTTAACTTAACTCAAACCCTTTAAAAATGACCGAAATACACCGTTTTTTGTCTTCATAATCCTAATGTTAGGAACATAATGTGAACCTAATTCAAAATCCAATTGAGGCACTAAGGATAAGCCACCTTTCGATGGCCACATAATCAAAACTTGCATTTTCTATATAATTTATTAGAAAATAAGAAAACCCATAATACAAATGTCAGTTAAAGAACCTTAAAATACGTTATAAACTCTTAGGCTTCAATGCCGTCCTTTGAACATCATTGTTCTTTATAACGAGACAAGAACTAGTCACAAGAGAAAATATCAGTGGTTGTTAAGGGAGGAGAAAGAATATGGGATTGATGGCATTGGAAGCAGAAATTAGGGATTAGAATTATGAGTTCTAAAACGGGGCATTTAGATCATTTTGAGGGCACTTGGGGTTAAGTTAACCCAAGTTGGTTAGGTGATACATGTTTTTATATTATTATATCATAAACTCTAACTGAGTTTGAATTTATGGTATCTAAGTTTATAAGTTAGAGTATTAAGGGACGAATGTCAATTTAGAGTGGTATACAACAAGTCACAAAGCTCACAGTATTTTTATAAGTTAGGCATAAATTTTTCAAAATAAAAATTCGAATTTTTGGTTCGAATTGAACCAAAACTATCGTTTTTCAATAGGGATGCCAATAGATCGGGTACTCTCTTAAAATGCACTATCCAAACTCAATTAAAAATTAGGTATCCAAACATGTTTCAAATTCGATTATAATTACTCGTTTAAAAATCCGAACTTGTTTAGCATTAAAAATATTTTTTATTTTAATTTTTTTAAAATATAAAAAAAATTTTAGAAATGATAAGATTTTTTATTTTGACTTAATGAAAATATAATATAAATATTAAATAATTATAGCATTAATTATAATTAAAAAAAGCGTGTATATATGATTTTTATTTTAAAAACTAATTATTTTAACTATTTTTTGAATCTTTATTAAATAGATAACGGGTACCTGCGTCCTTAAATCCAAACACGAACTCAATATTGGTAGTAAAAATACTATTTGAATCCGTCTTAAACCCGTTAAAATTAGATCGAATCGAGTACCTGACAAGTCATGAATTATCAATTTTGGTTCAAAATTTTAAACAACCGAATACATCATTTGACCTCTGAATTTGCGTAAAAAAGTCTTGTAACATCTTCTACTTTCAAAATGATCTTGTGGCACCTTAAAGTTGTAAAATTATTAATATCACACCCTTATTAATCCAGTCAGCAACGCGTGAAAAGTCAATTTTTTTCCTTCTCATGGACGTGTACAAATAGTTCTAGAAGACATTTTAAATCATTAAAAAAATATTTTTTATTACTAACTAAATTAGAATATTATTAAACCTATTTTTTTCTCTCTCATCCTATTTTCTTGAAATTCATGTTGAATTTGAGTTATTCCCAAATTAAACCAATCTCATTTTACTATGGTGCCTAGAGTTGATGAGAGCGGTTGCTGGTGAAGTTATTAGGAATGGTGGAAGGGTGTAATCGATCGACCGTTGACTGGTCTCATTGGCTTGTGGTCGATCTTGCCGGAGAAGCAAAAAAGTAATGTCGAAAGAGAAAAGAGACTGCGAGATTGCGACTCGCTCTCTGCTGCACTCGCTAGAAGAGAAAGAGAGTGATCGGAGATGGAGTGGTCGGTGGAGGAACAACGACCAAAAGCTCTAGTCGACTCGACTTGAGCTCAAGTCACCGAAAATACCAAAAGAATGGAAAAAGAGGGCTATCTCGATCGACGATCGACAAGTCCTTCTATCTCTCTCATTATCGCTCCTTGAACAAGAATGAAGGTAGAAAGCGGTGGCCAGAGGTGCTGTCAATGATGTGAGGTGGTCAAATCGACGGAACTTTGAGCTCCAGTGAACGGACAACGAAGGAGATAAGGGAGGGGACTGTGGTGCAATTAGGAAGGGGGAGAAGAGATTTTGGATTAGTTGTTGATTTGGTTCAATTTATGTTTGATTTGGATCGATCCATGAATTTTTTTATTGTATATTCAAAGTGGCAAAATTAATTGTGACTTGAAATTGTAATTTTTCATATTATTCGCGCGTGTTGTACACAACCAATTTACTATTTTGAACAGGTATGCAGTTGTTATAAAAAGTAAACTTTAGGGTGCTACATGATTACTTTTAAAATGTCATTAGGTTACTTTAAAAATAAAGGAGTTTTTTTACGTAAGTTCAGAAAAAAATAATGGATTCAGCCAATTTTAAACAGACGATTTTAGTCTGATTTGGATTCATATACAGTATAGTTGGTTCCGATTCACACCAAACTGATAGCATGTAAGATTCCACTACGATGCACACGCGTCGGTTAATTAGTTGAATGGTCCGCTGTGTGGTCCCCAATAGGTAACGTGACCAAGACTTTCAAGAAATTGCCAAAAAAGTCAATAAAATAATGGAACTGCCAAAAAATAAAAATAAAATAATAAAAGAACTCAATTATTAGAGAGAAGATGAAGGAGAGATGCCTTCCTAACCCTAAAAGCAAATTTAAGGAAACTCCATTCTGATTTGCACATTCTCTTCCTCTCTCTCTCTTGAAGTTGCAGAGAGTCTATCTTTTCTCTGTTTACTCTCTCTCTCTCTCTCTCTCTCTCTCTCTCCCTGAAATTAGGTTTCTATTTGGTCAGGTAATTTCTTTCTTTGTGTTCCGATTTTGTTTATCCCGTTAGAGATTTTGATTTCCCAATTTGGTCAACATTCGTGCTGGCTGTTTTTTTCTTTTCTTATTTTGCTGATTTTAGGTGGTTTTTACTTCCTTTTTACGATTTTCTTCAATTTTTAGATCGATTTTTGGTTTTTTGTAATTTCTATACAATCAGATTTCTTCCCTGAAAAAGAATCTTTAATCTACTTGTCTGTTCTGTTGTTTGATATAATTGATTTTGTTTGTTAATTTAAATCAAGGAAGTGTTTTTTATTTTGCTTGGTTGGATCTTCGCTATATTTTCATGTCGTAGATTGTTTCCAGAATTTATGTTGATTGGCCAATTGGGCTTTACTCTCTTAGATCTAATTGGAGTTGATTGTTTTGATTGATACCTTTGTTGTTTTCAGAAATTGGGTTTGCTTTATCTGGTAGTTTTTGAAACTCCCCTTTTTATCTGTTACGTGTTGGACTTTGATTTTCTACTTTGATGAGCTAAGGGGAGAACAGATCCATTGTTTTTTGTTTTTTGCCTGCAGGTTTTTGCTTCATCTTGATGAGTTTCTAAATGACTATCAGAATCTCGCTGATCTTTATTACCTAATTGAATGCGGTAGTCCACTTGGTAACCTTAATATTATCAAGGTAGGATTGAGAAGCCACTTGGGGTTTAGTTTGGAGGAATATTTTTGTGATTCATCATTTCTGTTGCAAGGCCTCAGAAAGTGTATATACAGTTCCAGACTTTGGAGGCATGCCTGTATCAGGAAATGAGGAGGTCTTTATTTCTTTTCTAAGTTACTCCTGAATTGGATTATAGTATATTGAAATTATTTGTTTTCTGCATATTGATTAATTAATCTTTCTTGGCAGACTGCTATTAAATCACTTGGTGGGCAGTCTAGTCTTAATATTGCAGGTGTTCCTATGAAGAAAAGGAGATTCATTTGGCCACCCATACCTGAAGAAAAGCAATCTTCATTACCTTTGGAAAATGATTCTTTAGAGAAAGAACTTGGCAGCCCATCTCAGGAGTCAGAAGTTGCAAATGTTAGTGTTGATGCTAGTTCTTCTGGCTTATCTGATTCAAACAAGAATTTTGTACATGACGAAAATGAGAAAAGTTCTGACAATATTGTGTCAACAACTATTATTAACCAACCAAGAGTTAGAATTGAAGAACTAAATCTTACTCGGTCTGATTCCTCGGTTAAGCTTGATGATGATGAGAAGCTTATGGCAGCAGAAAAATCTGCTAACATTATGGTAAAATCTGCAAAAACTGGTTGAATTTAGCCAGCAGTAAATCTGCTAGCATTTTGGTAAAATGAGCAACCAAGTTGTTTTACATTTCATTTTGGGTGTGCTTGCTTTAAGATAATAGAGAAAAGGAGATTTTAAGAAATATTATTTTCTATTTGGTGAGATTTTTTTTTTAATTTTTTCTTTCAAATTCTTAAATGATTATTGTTTCCTTTGTTTGTTGATTTAAATTATGTTTGTGGGTTTGAAATTGAGTTCCTAGTGGTAATTGGTTTTGAAGCTTATTTTTATTTGGATATTTGTTGCTCAAATTCTTTTGTTCACAATCATTACTCTCTTAATGGTAATTTATTAATCTACTTTGGCAGACTGGGGCTAAACCCCTTGATGGTGTTCCAATGAAGAAAAGGAGGTTCATTCGTCCTCCTTCTCCTTCTACTGAAGATCAACTTTCACTGCCTGTGGAAAAGGATTCTATAAAGAAAGAAAAGGGTAGCCAGTCTCAGGAGTCTGCTCCTGTTGCAGGAAATTCACGCCTATCTGATCAAAACAAGATGTTTTTGCCTGAGGATAATAAGATAATTCCTGACAAAATTGTGCAGAACAATATTATAAACTACTCAAGAGTTAAAATTGAGGAACCATTCCAATCAATTCAGTCTGATTCACTGGCCAAACTTGACAATGTGAAGAAGTTTTTGGCAGCAGAAAAATCTACTAACAGCCGAGTTAAATCAGCTGAAACTGAGTCAAATTTAGCACTGAATAAAGCCCCTGCAGTGGATGTTGATAAAGAGATATTTAACCAGCAAATAGCAGAAGGAAAGAGTAAAAAATCTACTGTTGCAGGGAATTCTAAATTGTCATTAGGTTTGAAGGAAGGTTGTCTTTGTGGTTTGGAGAATCAGAATAATGATGGGAGCATTGTGAATCAAGAAAATGTAGAATCTATTTCGTTGAATTTGTCTTTAAGCAATGGTGAAAGTACCCAGCTTAATATGGATGATGTGCAGTCAAATACTAATAGTGCTAATAGTGCTAATATATGTGCTGACAGATCAAATTGGGATTTGAATACTACTATGGATACATGGGTAGCTTGTGAGAGTGATGAAGCTGCTTGTCAAGTAACAGCTGATGGGTCAAGCATGATTAGTGTGACAGATGACAGAAAGCCTTTAGTATCAACAGGGATGGTCGGAACTAGTATTGGTACTGAAAAGCAACTTCTTGAAGAGAGAGAGTTTAGATCTAATTTTCCTGGAATATCTTCACAATCTGGTCAACATTATAATTCTGAGGATTCTCTTCATCTGCGCCTCAGTTCATCTTTTCTTTCTTTTAACTGCCAGGTATCTTCTAGTTTATCTGTTAACAAAGACCTTCACAATGCTGTTCGTGATATTAGCTTCTCTAGAGTATTGTTGCCAGGAGGCAACACAGTTGACGTAGCTAACTCCAGAACAATAAAATCTGAACCATTTGATGAGAGCCTCAAACATGATTCCAGCAGAACTAAATCCTACTCAACAGTCCCGTTAGATCTTAGAGCAGTATCAGTGAAGCATGAATTAGTTGATAAGTCTTCTCAAGAAGCCTCAGAGTTGTCATATTTGAGTGCTGTGAAATCGGTTGATTCTAAAGCTATGAAATCTGAACCATTTCATGAGGTTAATCTGGAAGCATTGAAGACCATAGATGAGACATTGCGGCGACCTGATAGACAGGTGCTACGAGATCAGGATCGAGGACAATCTACTTGTTCAACTAGTGAACACATTCGGCAAGGTCAGGACATCAAAGTACAATCTGCATGTTCAACAAATAAACCATTGCTGCAAGGTCAGGAAACTGGAGAACAACCTACTTGTACAGCTGATGAGCAGCTGCTGCTGCAAGGGAACAATGCTATTGCAACACCTGCTTGCTTAGTCGGTCTCTCTGTTGATGGCAAAATGTCTGACCATGTAGGATCCTGTGGGGTTGCTGGCGGTGTTAGCGAAGAGGCTTCTAAAGAATCATGTGAAACTGCTGGGCAGCTTGCTCCAGAAATTGGGTCTTTTCCTGTCAATCACAGTGGTAGTGAAATGAATATTTGTGGAATGGGTGGTGCAATTGCTGAGGAAAAGAATGTGGATAATTCTGACCAGTGCAAACTGAAAGTCACGAATGAGCTTCGTCCTGATACACACCGAAATGGTGAGGGCACGGTAAGTGATGAGGAAAAGATTAATTTGTCAGGTGATATGCTAGAAGAAGACTCTTATGGCTCTGAATACGAGTCTGATGGCAATTCTGTGCCTATGGATATAGAAGAGGATGGTCGAGGACAGGATGACTATGAGGATGGTGAAGTCCGTGAACCGCAATTGCATGCTGCAGTAGAGGGTCCATGTGGGAAAAAAGAAGACATTACTCATGGTGAATCTGATAATGACAAGGCCGACTCTGCTGAACTACAAGCTGTTGTTCTTTCTACTTCATTCCATGTTGAGGGAAAGGACAGTAATGGGAAAGAACCTGTTGAGCCAAAAAAAGATACTGTTGGAGAAAGTATTGACACAACTCTTGGTAAGAAAGTTGTCGACAGTGCAGATAAAGATACCTCTAGGGAAGAATCATCAGCGGTTGAGAACTTGGCCAGTGTTGCTGACAAAAGGAAGATAGTCAAGACTATTCGAAGAAAACAAGTTGATTTATCAGCAAATAAAGATGGCCCTAAGGGCTTGGGGACAGAACAGTCATTTGATCAATCTACTAGTGGAGGCCAGGGAGCTTTAGAGGCTGTTGTTCAAGGAACTGATGAGAATGTTAAGACAAGTGAAGTAGTAAAAAATGAGACTGCATTAACAAAGGTGGAAACATCTTTAAATGGTGATGATGCAGCTAAGGATGCCAACAATGGAGGTAATCAGAGTAGGATTATAAACCTGTCTTTAGCTTCTAATGTATCTTCTTTTGGTAAGACAAGATCTATATCAGGTAAGCCATTGTCATCACGCCCTGGAAGAGAAAGATTACCTGATTTACCACTAGAGGGAGACAAACTACATCCTCGAGGGAGGTGATTATTTATTATCACTGTTTGCCATTTTGTATTGAAGGCTTAAATTTACTGTTATCTGATTTTCTTCTTTGGCAATTTATTTTAGGGATGAAACATACGAGGCTTCCCACAAGTTCTCAAGAGAAAGGTATCAAGATCACTCGTCTAGAAACTCTAGATGGAATTATGGTAGAGGGAGGCTTGCTAGTAGAATTGACTCACGTAATGACAGAGATTCTGAACGTGATTGCCTTCCAAGACATAAATATGCATCTGCTGTTCCGGGATCAGATACTGAATTCATGAATTATAATATGGGACCAGATGGTGCATTTGGTACTGTTCAGAGAGGGAGAAAGCTATTGGATGATGAGACACCAATTTTGCGTCATCTGTCGTCAAGAAGGCGCTCTCCTGCTGGGAGAGATGGACATCCCTCACGTGGACTGCAAATGGTCCATAGAGGTCCAAGAAATATTGGCGAAGATGGTTCTGAAGTTGTTAGTCTAAGGCATGCCGAAAAGATGATGAGGGGATATCCTGATGATAATGAAGAGCATGCTTACACTTGTCCTCAACCTCCATATGAGGGATTAGATAGTCGTTTTGTTCAAGGGACCAGGAACTTTTCTTCTGTCCCGAGAAGGGGTGTTCCTCAAATGCATTCAAAATCTCCCATCAGATCTCGTTCTCCTGGTCCATGGTCATCATCAAGGAGAAGATCTCCTGACGGGTTTGGTGGGCCCCCAGAATTGCCCCATAGAAGATCACCCATTTACAGGATTGATAGGATAAGGTCACCTGATAACCCAGGTTTTCCTGCCGAAAGGATGGGTAGGAGGCACAGTTCTCCATCATATTTGTCCCGACCTAATGATTTGAGGGAAATGGATCCTGGTCGGGACCATGGTCATCCAAGATCCATCATCTCTAACAGGAGCCCAACTGGCCGCGTTTTACTCAGAAACAGTAGGAGATTTGGCATTGTTGATCCTAGAGAAAGAGCCGAAAGTGATGATTTTTTTGGAGGGGCCATGCACTCTGGTCGGTTTCATGATCTTGGTGATGGAAATGGTGAGGAGAGAAGAAGGTTTGGTGATAGACGGGCACCTGTTCGTTCATTCAGGCCTCCTTTTAATGGTGCTGATGGTGAAAATTTTCATGTTAATACAGAGGATGGCCCTAGGTCCTTCAGATATTTCCCTGAAGATGATCCAGACTTCCATGAAAGACCTAATTTTAGAGAAAGAGAATTTGATAGGCGGATTAAGAACCGACCTGGAAATGTACCTAGAAGACCAAGAAGCATTGAAGAACAAGATGGAAATTACAGGCCTGGAGGGCAGGTGTTGTATGAAGACAGTTTTGATGATTTATCAAGAGTGAAAAGAAAAAGATTTTGATAGATTAATTTACATCTGCAATAAACTAGATCCAAGACTTTCCACTTTATTGGATATGGGGAACTAGAAGGCAGAAATAGTGCTGTTAGTTACAGCTGGATATAGGAATAGGAAGTTGTTGTTCTGCTCTTGGTTTCGACCAAGTTGCAATTGTGATACAAGATGCTAACTTGATTTAAGATCAGATGCTTGCAATCCTTGGATGATTAATCTGTCATGTACATAACTTGGATCTTCTCATAATCTTTCTGCCAGTTCCTTATTTGCTAATTCTGGATGTTAGCTGCACTACTTCAAAGTTTCATTTGAGGAAGTTTTGTACTGTCATAATTTTGGTGGCTCTATATTTTTAAGGGTCATTTTGGTGAAACCATTTTTCATATGTTCTATGAAGATCCTCAAGCTTCAAAGTATCATCAGTTTTGCATGCTGATTATTGTGCATAGGGGGCCAGGGCAGGTATGCTGCAAAGAACTACTTGAACCTTGAACTAATTTTCAAGCCATAATGGAGCTTTATTACACTCAAGAATTAGCTAATTCTTTTATTTGATTCTTCAAATTCCTCGTCACGTTGCACAAATGTGGATCCTTCATGTAATGTTACCTACTTTTTGAAGTCAGTCGATACAGTTTCTGCAGAGGTGCTGAAGGTCTGAAGGTTTTATAAAAGTGCTATTTTTTTCTGTATTGTGATTTTGTGACAAAAGAAATTTACAGGTATATAACTGCTTTTTAGCTCTAGAACAGCTATAACTGTTTGGTTTTGATGATGGCTGTGGGCTGAGACATATGGGTGTGGGATTTTCACATAGTTCAATGCTATATTATGCATCAAGTGCTCGAAGGGCTCAAGTTGTTTTGCCTAATTTCAGTTTCACTGGTTTAGATGTTGGCAATTTTGCTTTAAAAATGTCTCTGCACTTCAAGGAGAAAGAGGGAATGTTCATGTCTTGAAGTAGGCTTTCTTAGCTGTGATATTATTCATTTCCTCATAGACTTAAACATACTCATTAGCTGTGTTGGTGGTTTCTGCAATATGTGGAGCTGACACAAATTTGCCAATTATCGAGTCTTGTCTTGGCATCTTCTGCGGATTCCTAAAAGATTTAATTTCTTAGGTACTATTCACAAAGGATAACAGATATTGAAAATATTAACTTCTTTCTTCATATTAGTATTTTTGATACTTTGCATTTGCGTACCTTGTTTATCTTCTACTGGCTTCACTGGAAGGAAGAAAATTGTGACCTTTGAAGCATAATACATCAAACTAAATGGGGATTTTGATATGGAAAAGGTGAAAGTTCCTCTAATGTGTTAATTCTACTGTTAGACGTAGATCGGTTGGTGCTGCCTGCAGATCGGCTACTTTGTCATACCATAGTCACCATAAGCTTCTTTCTTCATTCTATACCTTGCATTCTTAGTATATATCTTTTGCAGATATAGTAGTAATAGTACTAGAAAATAGAAGGAAAGACTTGATCCATGATTAGCTTTAGTCTTTAGCTTTTGAGTAACATGCTAGATGATCATGGAATTCCCTGTGGACTGGAAGCATAATTGTTGAAGTGTGTTGCAAGTTAAGTTATGGAGTCGATGTGTATTGGATCTACAAGTTACGAAAATTTGACCATGTCAAAATGGGGAGAGCTGACTTGAGTTTTGTATATAGGATGAATGGTATTTACTGGCAATGTGTGCATGTATATGGCACCTTTTACCTGAAGTATACGCTGTTCGAACTGTCGATGACTGAAGTCACACCAACTGGGTATCCAGCTCATCTGTTTTCTTCTCTCACTTGCAATAGACCAGCAGAGTTTTGGAATGTTCAAATATAATGAATGACCTAGTCAAAAGATGGATAACTTTTACAGGGATTTGATATGATTTGATTTAACCTTAGCTTTGAATATGAAAAAGGCCAAGTTATTTGGGAAGTAAAGAAACATGAGACATTCCATTTTTTACAGGGATATGATTTGACATGAGACCTTCCATTCTTTGTTTTAGTTATTTGGAAAGTAAAGAAACAAACTGGAGATATTGCAATTTCTTAGAATGTGCCAGCAAGGTGAAGAAAGCAGCAGGGTTGAATTGGTCCTGACCTGCTTCCAGCTATTCATTTGTCCTTTGTGGCAATTTTTATGTCTTGCGAGTTCTGTGCAATCTATGTGCATGGTCAACTTCAGCCTGCATTATTATTGGTTTTAATGGCAAAATCAAGAGAGGAAAGGATGAACAGATAAATAAATAAACAAATGGAATATTTGAAATTTGGAAACCAATGATTAATTATTATCATTTAATTGCAATTAATCTAAACTCCTGTTGACTGGTAGATATACCAAACAAGCCAAACATAGGGTTTATAGTTGTAGTAGTAAAGACACATGGAGGGACCATACAAATGATAGCAACATATGAGGCCAAAAGCAAGTTATGATGTCCCATGTTAGGCCATTGGTTGACCTTTCCTATCAAGCCTACCCTTTCATTTTCAATTTCGAAGGCTAGTAATTTGTTCTTTTGTGTTGTTTTTTTTTTTTTTTTTTTTCTTTGTATATGGCACTTTTCTGAAGTATCGCTTGTTCGGACACTGTCGATGACTGAGGTCACACCATCTGGTAGTCCAGCTCATCAGCTGTTTTCTTCTCTACTGCAATAGACCCAGCCAGAGTTTTGGAATGTTCAAATATATGAATGACTAGTCAAAGATGGAATAACTTTTACAGGGATTTTGATATGATTTGATTTAACTTAGCTTTTGAATATGAAAAAGGCCAAGTTATTTTGGGAAGTAAAGAAACGAGACATTCCATTTTTTTTACAGGGATATGATTTGACATGAGACTTCCTTTTCTGTTTTTAGTTATTTTGGAAAGTAAAGAAAAACATACAACTGGAGATATTGGGCATTTCCTTAGAATGTGCAGCAAGGTGAAGACAAGCAGCAGGTTTGAAATTGGTCTGACTGCTTCCAGCTATTCATTTGTCTTTGTGGCAATTTTTATGTCCTGCGAGTTCTGTGGCAATCTATTGCATGGTAACTTCAGCCTGCATTATTATTGTTTTAATGGAAAATCAAGAGAGAAAGGATTGAACAGATAATAAATAAAAAATGGAATATTTGAAATTTGGAAACCAATGATAATTATTATCATTTAATTGCAATTAATCCTAAACTCCTGTTGACTGTAGATATACCAAACAGCAAACATAGGGTTTATAAGTTGTAGTATAAAGACACATGGAGGGACATACAAATATAGAACATATGAGGCCAAAAGCAAGTTATGATGTCCCATGTTGGCCCATTGGTTGACCTTTCCTATCAAGCTACCTTTCACATTTCAATTTCGAAGGCCTAGTAATTTGTTCTTTTGGTGTTTTTTTTTTTTTTTTTTTTTCCCTTCTACCACAAAAATATTATTTTTCTATTAGCACCTATGATGCATATGTAGTGATCGTTGACTCATTCCAAAGACCCAACATATTGATTTGATCCCAAAAATTTTCCTTCTGATTTAGTATAAAATAACAAAATATAATATTCTTAACAAATTTCTAAGTTTTTTACTGTGGAAAAATAGATTAATATTATGATATTACAAGAAATTAAACTCTCTGACAATTTACAACAACTTACTTTTATTGTTGTAATTAATTCAATCTGGTGTTTATTATTTATTTTAACTTGTTGCCGAAGGAGGAGGAGAAGTTAGCTACCTTTCCACCAAAAAAAAAAAAAAGTTAGTTACATATTCTCCACTTTACAAGTAAACAATAAATATTGGTATAATGGCTAGTTCTTAATCTTATAAATATAAAAAATACCTAATGCATAACTTTACTGTCATGACCCGTTTTCATGGGCCGGATCGGTACTAGAACGCAAGTAAGCTTAAGGCCCTCAAGGCCTGTAGTAAGCCTCAATCACTAAATTCAACTATCTCAATATGAATTTTTACCATTTAGCCCATATTGTTATACTTAATAAACTTCATAATTATATTATATTTCGACACCAAATTTAACATTTTACATATTTCATAGATTGGGCCTAATTTGTAATACATTACATTTATAATATGAGCTCATAAAATCATAACACCTATATTAATACACAACTAGAGGTACATAAATCATACAACTGCGGAGTTCACTAATAGACATGTATAAATGGGTTCTTATACATAAAGTTATATAGCAAAATAATCATTGAAACTATGAAAAATTTCTTTCTAGCTTTGCGGTGAAGAAACAAAACTTAAATCGTAATAAAGAGGAACCTACTTCCTGAAAGGTTAAACAAGACATGTGAGTTTTATAGAATAATAATTATTGCACAACACATGCATTCACCCGAATGTGTAAATATATTAATCTAGTCATCCGACTAGTTATATGATCACATTGACATCACACAAATGGCATAATAATAGCACTCACAATTATTAACAACTTCATATAATCACATCACGTGAAAATTTATCAATGACATCACCAAAACCCCCAATGAGCCGTCCTTACACATGGCCCGCCCTCTCATCACGTGTTTACCAGGGAGCCAATCTCCATACATGGCCAACTGGTCTCAACCTCACTTGACCAGCCCTCTCATTTTTTTTATACCCTCTTTTCTTTTCTATACCAACAGGAGGCCACCTGTGGTTTTTCATATCATATTTCATCAGATGTACACAAGGACACCGATATCCTCATCATGGCCGACAGTATCGAAGACCGCTCTCACAAGCCCAACGGTGACCCACTTCATCCCAATTCTACACAAACAAGGCATAGAAATATCACAACACAAATAATCAAAAATCGCTTTTAAATGCAAGCACATTAATCAATTAAACATTTTCATACAAGAGCACAAATAAACATCCATATACCAATTTAAATAAATACAAGAGTATTAAATAATAACATACTATAATAATCAGTTCTTAAAAATAAATGAGTAAATAAATAATAATAAAAATAACTGAAGAGCTTTATTTTAAATATAATAAGGTATAAGATTAATCTAAATAAACCTATTAATTTAATTATTATATATAATTAACCTAGAATCTAGCAAAACTTTGGCGGAACCTTCTCTAGAAATTGGGTTAAATCACCCGCTTAAAACTGTAATTTAGTAATAAATTCTCAAGCCCATCTATTGGGTAATTCACAATAACTACCCGTCTATCATAACCATTACTCATTCATCTAAATATTTACTCCATTCTCACAGCCCATCCATCGGGCAAATCAACCTATCTGCCTTAAACAATATTTATATGGATGAGCAGGCACTTGAGCCTGGAACTAATGAAATTCGGGGGTCTTCCTGTTGGCTCTGTAAACTTCGCGTTATTAAATGGGAAAGAGACGACGTTCATCTACCCTGGCATATGGAAGAGGGTCAAGAGCTTCTTCTGAGAAAGGAATAACCATCATACACACACATATATATATGAACTTAATCATTCTAAAATTCTAAACCTCACGTTATTGGCCTATCCAAAACGCTATATAATTACAATAACATAATAATCGATTGACTAATTGTTCATTCCCTTTTAATCATGAACAGTTTACTAACGTCATCCCATCATTGCACCAAAAGCATCCAAGATCAACTCATCCACAATTGTACCATAGGTTAATACATTCTTTAACTAACAAATGAACAAGTTTATCTAACGTGCAATCCCACATCGCACATCATTGCACCAAAAGCATCCAAGATCAACTCATCCACAATTGTACCATAGGTTAATACATTCTTTAACTAACAACTAAATCACAAGTTAATAAAGATAATCAAGTACTTGTTATTGCTTCATGATTTACACTTAGAGGTAATAAGGCCCAATATCATAGTCATATAAAACTAAACTTCCTAAATTTTAATTCACAACAGTAATCAATTCTAGTTAACCCACGTTATCAATTATCTAATATGATCACGATTTCTAACGACTGAATCTCAAGTTCAAATTCTCCTAAAAACTCCAAATATTTTCACAAACTTCAAAACCTAATATTTCAAAGTCCTTCTATTACTTATTATTACTTTTTCAAAGTCCTTCTATTACTTATTTATTCAAAATTAACTAAATCAACCAATAAATTTAAGTTTGAAATTTTTTAACAAAAATGATGAACTAAGTCTTAGAGCGTACCGATTGAGAATTGGACTACGATTCCACGAACCGTGTGAAGAGAAGATCATTCTGTCTCTTGGGGCTTGCCTGTCGGTCGCCAGATCGCCGGCCGACCACCGTGAACGGTGACCGGAAAATCGGTCTCTGCAGGATTTGAGCAGCGCTTACATCCTCAAACTAGAAAATCCGCGAGGAACTCAAATCCATCCTCCGTTTGTGCATTTGGCGAGCCGGTTGGTTGGAATCGAGCTCGACAACTGCTCCACCATCGCCTTCAGTGGCGCCTCCACCATACTGACCCCATCTTCGAAGTTAATGGAGGGGAAATGTTCAGGAGATAACTAGGAGTCGATTGGGACTAGGCATGACCGGTTCATTGAACCACCGGTTCTGGTTCCGGTGCGGTTCTGATCACGATTTCTGACGATATATATATTTTTTTAAAAAAATCGATTCTAACATTACATCTTTCTTTCGAAAATATTAATACAAGTTTAAAAAATATTAGTAAATTTTATTTTAATATTAAGTAAAATTTTATTTTAAATAAATTTTAGACATTGCTCATACCCTCATGATAGAGAATAAAAATTAATTAATTTACAAAATAATCAAAATAAGTTTTCACTTTTATTTTGTTTCAAAATGTTATTAATTAAAAATAAATTAATAAGAAATTTTTGAAATGTGTTCAAAAAGAAGTAATTTTAAACTTAGTAATAATTTAAAAGGGTAAAAAAAAAGTTAAAAACATAATTAAGTTTAGACAAATATTTCTCTCTTTTTTTAACCATTTTACTTTTTAGATTTTTTAACTTTTAAAGTAAAGTGTATTTTTTAAAAAAAAATTTAAGCTAAAGTATATCATGTATAAAAATATTATTGAGAAACTTTTAGAGATGTAAAAATAAGCTAATGTGAATTATTATTTTGAAAATAAAATAGAAAATTTTTCGGTTCGAACCGGACCAGAAACCGCCGGTTCCAAGGCCCCGGTTCAAGGTTCAGAAATTTTTAACATTCACATGAACCTTTATATTGAGACTTTTAGAGATGTATAAAATAAGCTAAGTGATTATTATTTTGAAAATAAAAATAGAAAATTTTCGGTTCGAACCGGACCAGAACCGCCGGTTCAAGGCCGGTTCAGGTTCAGATTTTAACATTCACATGAACCTTAACCGGTCCTTGAACTGCCGATTCCGATTCAAAACTTTGAGCCAAGGATTCCAATTCATCTATAGCACGGTTCGGTTTTAGTTCAAAATGAACCGGTGGCCATGCCTAATTGGGACCATCCCGGGGCTCTGAGATCGACGAAACAACGAGATATTGCTGGAAATTGTAGTGGCAACCGGTGAAGCATCTCGATATCATTTCATGCCGTTAGTGCCTCTTTTTGCGTGAGGGAAGGCTGGAAACTTGACCAGCGGCACGAGGTAAGTCAATTGCCAGCTTGCTCTCATTGAGCGGTGGCCAGAATGGGAAGGTAGGGGGGTCGCGCGCCTGCCTTTGCTAGAGATGGAAGAAGAAAAAGAAAGAAAGGTAAAGAAAATGGTTTTAAAGTTTTCTAGGCCATTCCAGTTCGATTCTAACCGGTTTTGCTTAATTCAATGATTTGGCTCAATTTTTGCGTCGCTTATGAGTCTGGTTTATTTTATTTTAATCAATTTAATATTTAACGTCCAATATTAATTCTTAAGAAGTCTAGAAGGTTTTCAATTAGGAGTTGCGATACGATATTTTGGGCTTGGGTCCAACTCGCGAATTTGGATGCAAATTTGAGATTATACAGTACTTGCAGTCCATACAGTCAAAATTTTTTATTTTTGATTTAATAAAAATTTAAAAGTTTCGAAAATAAAATTACAGAGTGTTTCATTTACCCTTGAATTTTCACCACTTTTTTTTAGTGGCCTTCGGAACTTTGTTGGGATTCTATGATAACCCTAGATTTCAAATTCCTTCAATAAACATGCCCCTAGTCACATGAGATAAGGGGAGCGTGAACTCAAGCGTAAATTAAAGTTTGAGGGGTTATTTCCTGAGTCATATCAGCTGCGTAAGGTGACCATTGTGGTTAATGAACAATAGCTAAATATTGATTTTGAAGAGAGAGAAACAACTTTGTCTTTTCCCATTTTATATGTCCATAGTCGATGAAAGAGAAACCATAATCCTTCTTCCTTTCTTGACAAAATCAAATCCTCTAACAAGTAAATCGAGCTGAGAAGGGCAATAAATCTTAGTGAGTGATTATGAAGCTTGCTAGAAATAAGGAAGATTGGATCATTGCATTCTAAATCCAGGGTTTGTCTTAGTCATGAATTATCTCCTTGATTACCCAATTTCAGAGTGCAACTATGGGCAAACCAGTCGATTGAAGATCTCATACACATATTCACATCCTGGACGTCGATTCTTTAGGTGTCAACAATATAGGGTAAGTCCAGAGAGATTCATTATAGCACATTCTATTAATTGTGTGGTAATTAAAATGCACTTTTGCTTCTTATCTTGCAGAGAGTTGTGTCCTGCAACTTCTTTCAGTGGCATGATTCACTAATACCAGATCACATTCAACATGTGATTTTGACTTTACTGAGGAAAATAAAGATGAATGAAGAAGAGAAAAGGAATCCAATGTAATACAAGATAAAAAAAAAATTATTTCACAAACTAAAGGCATATGGACAAAACAATGACAATAAAATATTACAATCACTATGCAACAACAAAAATATCAATTTCCATACATTCAAAAAGATATAATTTTTGTCAAAAGAACAAAAAAAAAAAACCACACATGTATCTCTTTAGTTTAAATTTAACAACAAACCCTAAATAAATTGGGAATAAAAACCCCCTAGATTTCAATCAAATAACATAAAAACCCTAATACACTAAAAAGAAGGCCAATGTGTCAATCTCAGACTCTTTGTCAACCTTTCTCATTATTTAAAAGTTGAAGCTTTACTAACCTTTAAACAAATCCCCAGAAAAGTCAGATTTCTTCTTCTCAATGGAGTGTCAAAAGACTTCCCAAAAAATGCCTTCTATACCTTCATATCTCGCTATAAATCTTCTTCAGGAAGTGCACATCAAAGCCACTGAGAGAATGGGTAATATCCCATGAGAAGGGTTTCTCGGTTCAAGTGTTTTTGGAGCTTTTAAGAAACGAAAATAGAGGAGAGGAGGGAAAGAGGGAAACGAATATTTTGTACAATCAACAATTTCTTTTCCATGTGGATTTAAGTAAAAATATGCGTGTCATTATAAATTCCATGTCACTAGGCATGTAATACACTTAATTTTTCCAATCTGGCTTGGAGCACAGTTACTGAAGGAATTTGAAATCCATAGTCATTAAAGAAACCCCCCACAAAGTTCAGGGAGCCGTTAGGAGAAACGGTGAAAGTTTGAGAATAAAATTTTACATTAGACCTATAAAAAATGAATTTTATTATAGTATGATAATTATAAAAAAAAAATCAAAAAATAAAAAGTAGTATCCAATGAATGTAAAAGTTAGCAGGAGTTAAAGTAAGATTGAATAGAAAAATATAGGGTACGATTGTAAAGAGATTATGGGCAATATTGATGTTGAGTAATAGAATTGATTGCATATGTGCATTAATCGAATTCACTGCATATAAAGTACGGATGTTGAGTAATAGAATTGATTGCATATGTGCATTAATCGAATTCACTGCATATAAAGTACGGATGTTGAGTAATAGAATTGATTGCATATGTGCATTAATCGAATTCACTGCATATAAAGTACGGATGTTGAGTAATAGAATTGATTGCATATGTGCATTAATCGAATTCACTGCATATAAAGTACGGATAGGAAATTAATTAATTCTCCTAAAATATAACAAAACTAATGGTAAATTGTTCAAATCACTATTTATCTCAAAATCAATAATAATTTGTGAAGGTAGTTATTATATCTAATGTAAATAAGTTAACATTGAAAAAAATATCATTTATTACTCCTTAAAATACTCAAAACGACTTATATTTTGGGATCTAAAAAGTAGTAAAAATAATTATATTGCATGTATGCATTAACATTGATCTTGAAACAACCCTAAAATTTATTTTCAAAATTTTTCATTTAAAAATTTAATTATAAATTCTAAATCAATGATATTATAGAACATATTATGTTTAAAATAAAAAATCAATACCCTGTGAATTTATTTAACAAAATTTAATACAAACTCAATTATATATGTCTAAATCAAACCTTGAAACCAAATAAAATCTATTAGAAATCTATAAACCAAGTAGAAAACCAATTAAAAATCAAACAAAACCATGATTTGGGCCAAACCAAACTCAAATAACCTAAACCACCCATTCTCTAGAAAACCCTAGAATACTTAAAATTACTGTTTTGTCCAAAATTACTTTGCTCTTCTTCCCATTACCGTCGACGGCCCCTCCCCGTTCTCTCCTTCGTTTTCTGTTCACCGGAGCTCAAGCTCCGTCGATCAGACACCTTCACGCCGCCACCGCTGCTCCGGTCTCTCTCTCTCTCTCTCTCTCTCTCTCTCACTCTGTTTGCATTTTCGGTGAGCGCAAATCACAGACAAAGCTGCGACTTCATCTCGATCGAAACAATCCCGTCTCCGGCGTTCCTTTTGTTCCCCGACGACTCTAGCTTCCTTCTTGTGGCAGAGTCACTCGTTTCCTCTCTCTCTCTTCCTGTTCCGGCTGGCACAATAGTCGGGTGAAGCTGCATGTGGTTTCTGATCGGGTCAGTTGCGACCCAGCTCTCCTTTCTCGCTTATTCGGCAAGGCCAGCCACCAGCCGACGAAACCGGTTCTCTCGTCGCCAACTCCTCATTGCATTGTTGCTCCCTCCTCCTCCGGCCAAGTTAATGCCCAAAAAAATTGAATTCCAAGCATAGGAGCCGCTACCGGACATTTTAACTGGAAATTTTCGATTTTTGGCTTGTTTTGCAGCTAGGTAAGGTAATTTTTGACCTCTTTAGTATAGTTTAAGAGTTTTTGGTCAAGGATGAAGGGTTTAATCCATGAATTAAGCTATTGTAGAAAGTTAAATCCTAGCTACTACTATTCATGTGATTAGAAAATCTGATTCTTCAATCTAGTTTAAATTATGAACTTATTTAATGAATAAGTTAGCATGATCAAGTGGATTTTTGCTTAGAAATGAGTATTAAACTATAGTGGCCCCCTCTAGCTAGAGAAAATCATGGTTTTTGTTTGAACTAAGTCTACATTTGGGTATTTTGTTGTGAATATAGAGGTTTTAATTATCAAGATTAAATCTCTAGCTACTGTTCATGCGAATTAGCTTGGAAAAATTTTGATAAAAAAGTTGTAACAGAAACTATAAACTGAATTATATGAGGAAGAGTAGATTACCATATCAGTGTCTTATTTTAACAAGATTTTAACGATTCCTAAGCATGACAGTAGCTTTTTTAGCCATTTGTTTGAATTCTTGATATAATATGAAGGAAATTGGTATTATACTTTAAAAATCTTGATGGATAATGAAATAATTAGCTTATGTATTAGAAGGGTTGATTACACATTTGCTATCAGTGCTTAATGGAAGTTTAAACTGGAAATTTGAAATGGAACTGATGATTTCATATAGTTCTATTAGATTTTGATTGTGAGATTGAGAAATTTCTGAAATGGCAGCAGTCATTCTTGTTAATTGCTTGGGTTATTGCCTTGATATGAGTTATAGGATTTTATAAGTGAATTTTGTGATGGGAATGAGTAAATTATATATGCTGCATGAGTTTATTGAAGAAAAATATTGATTTGTTAAATTGGCAGCAACTAATTGAGTATTTCCATGATTATGGATTGAAGCAACTCAGAAAATTATGTGTTTCAATTATTTTCATAATGATTACAAGCTATTGGAGGTATCCTTGATTGGAATGAGATTTAATCACAGAATTTCTGTCCTTTATGATTGAAATGAAAAAGGGAAGTATAAAAATAGTTGAATGTGAATTGAAATATGAAATTGTTATTTTTATTTTTATTTCTATGGTGATAGCTCGGTGCATTTTTATATGTTATTTGTCTAGTTAAATTAGAGAATGAATATCATTCTTATATTTCTGGTAGGATAGGATATGAAGGATTTGGAAATGTTTGTATTTGTTAACTAGGCTAGATATAGCTAATTATGTATACATGCTTATATATATAAATACAAGGATTAATAAATGACATTATTTAGAATATAAATTCAGTTATGTAAAGAAGTTATGATGGTTGGGTGTTGGTGATGGTATTAAGAGGAGGATGAGCATTTGATTTGATTGATTGCACTATAGATGGACTGTGTGGATTGAATAAATATATAGTGAGTATTTGACATTATCTTAATAGGTAGAAAGTCCTATTTTTAAGGGAGGTTCTGCCGAAATTTTGATAGAATTTAGGGTAGTTATATTTAATGAAGAAGTTAATAGGTTTGTTTGGAATAATTCTTTAATTTGATATATTCAAAATAAATCTCTTTATTTACTTTAGTTCTTTCCTTTGCATTTATAATTTATTAAATCGTCTAAGTTTGTCCACTGCTCCCGCGAATCAAAATCTAAGAACTTATCTTCTTCATCACTGTGAATAATAATAAATAGTGCACTACCATCTACATCATGCATAGTTACATTACCACATAATGTTATAATTTTCTATTTATTTAATTATTACTTAGTTAATTTATTGCATAAACATTTGTTACTTGTCCACTTATTGTACATATGTGTATATTTGTACATTTGCATAATCTTTGTTTATTATTGTGCTGCATTTAAAAGCGATGTTTGATTACTTGTGTTGTGATATTGCTATGCCTTGTTTGTGTGGAATTGGGATGAAGTGGGTCACCATGGGTTTGTGAGCTCGGTCTACGATATCGTCGGCCATGTATGGGGAGATTAGCGCCTGTGACATTGATGAAGTGGTCACCATTGGGTTTTGTGAAGCTCTCTAGCGACGAGTATATTGGGATGAAGTGGGTCACCATGGGTTTGTGAGCTCGGTCTACGATATCGTCGGCCATGTATGGGGAGATTAGCGCCCCGTGTGCATCTGATGATATATGATATGAAAAACCACAGGGTGGCTTCTTGTTGGTATGAAATAGAAAAGAGAGTATAAAAAAATGAGAGGGCTGGTCAAGTGAGGATTAAACCGGTTAGCCATGTACGAGGGGATCGGCTCCTTGGCACACACGTCATGAGCGGATGGGCCATGTGTGAGGACGGCTCATCGGTGGTTTTGATGACGCCACAGGCTAATCTCCACTTGTTGATTATGTGAAGGTGTACTTGTCTGTGGGTGTTGATGTTGTGTCATGTGTTTGACTGATCGAGTGTTCATTTAGCAATTTAGGAAGCATTTCGCGTGACTACTTGTATTATGCATTATTTATTATTATTCAAACTCACTTCTCTTTTGTTTAACTTTTTCAGGAAGTAGATTCTCTTCTATCCTGGCTAAAACTCTGTATGTTTCACTGCAGGGCTAGAAAAAGTAACTTCAAATTTTTGTGCTATTTAAATTGCATACTTTTATGTATAAGAACTTAATTATATCATCTTGTTATTGAACTCCGCAGTTGTAAGATTATGGTAGTTCTAATTATATATAACTATGAGTATGTTAACCAATAACTTATGTGAGTGGTTTAGATATCTGTATATATGCATATTATAGATATTATGTATAATTGTGCTCGAGTTAAGAATTATTTAAGATGTTGAAAGCGGACCGGGATATAATATGATTATTCATATATAAAGTAATATGGGCTTACGGTTTTTTTAAATCCATTTTGAAGTGATTAAGTTTAGTGGTTCAGACTTACTATGGGCCCTTACCTGGGCCCTAATGCCGGTCCGGCCTAGGGATTTGGGTCGTGACAGATCTTTAATACTATACTTGGTGATTCTGTGTGTCTCATAAAGTAGGAAAATACTTCTTCAAGTAATGCCCATTAAATCGAGCTCAATAAGCAATCTGAACTCTAATTTTTTTTCCCAAACCTAAGGTCTTACAATAGTCCTAGTGCAGGAAGTCAACAATCTTTTGCTTCAACTCTTTCTTTAATACGCTATTAATGGAAGTAACTCTTTAGATTTTTATGAGTACCAATGTTCACTTCTGGTTACTCTCCAGCTCTAGAAACTTCTTGTATCTCACCATAATCGTACTGTCATAGAGCAGTTGCATATAAACTTTTAGATAGCAGTTGCAATAGCTACTGCTAACTCCTCATCAGTATTTTTACAATGCTTAATCATGAAGCTCCTCAATGAGAATCTCCTCTATCGGCCTTTGGTATGACACGATGGCTAAGGGTCCTGGATAGCTAATTAAATTGTTACTGTCTCCAGCTGCATTGTTATCCTCTAGGTCAAAATCATCAACTTCCTTAACAACATCTCCTGGTTCGCTGCCCTCCTCTCATGATGAACCAAATTCTTCAAGTAAATTAACCTGGGAATAATCTCCTTCTTCTGGTGCCCAAGTGTCTTCAAATATCTTTGGAAGTTAGGTATTGGTTTTATATAACTTGCACCTAGAGGAAAGAAACTTGGATAAGGACTAGCTTTCCACGTACTCTTCTTAGGTACATATTTCTACTTTCCTTTCTCTCCTGTCTTAAATTTGGCTTGGACCTTTAAGTTCTTTAATTGATTAATATATCTAAAAGGGTCACATTAACATCATTAACAGAAGTTATAGAAGGGAAAGGATCCTTATCTATAAGCATTGACTCCTTCCTTTCAGGGAACTTAAGGACACCCCTATTAAGGTGGTCTTGAGTAACACTCCTATAAAACAAGCAATTATAGTAGCATGGTTCAAGTATCATGGTCTTATAGTAATCTTTTCCTTTCAGCTCTTCTTTGGTGGGGATCTTATGGTTAGTAGGAAGAGTACCAAAATTTTCCTTGCGCATGAAATCTAAAACCTCCCCAATCTTGGAGACATCAAAAGCATATTAGTGTTCAATTTTAGAGTTCACCTAATATTCTTCTTAAAGCCTCCTCTGTTGGTACTTAAAGACCGAGACAAGTACAAGAACCAAAATTAACCAAATCAGTAATGAACACCTCTTGACGAGTCTCTTGGAAATAAGTACCCATAGTTGATTTCTTCATTTGTAACTCTTTCCTTAGCAGTTTCTCATATTTAGTTCTACAAGCTTATAGAAATCCCTAAACTCCATCCCCCTGGACTTCTTTCTCAATGACAAGTCCGAGTCGTGTTGCGCCATCTTCACAAAATTCTACCTTTGGTAAGAATACTTTGCATATGTCCTTAACTTCTTGAACCTGGCAATGATTGTATATGTTGATTCACCACTTCTCTGTATCAGCTTGAACAGCTTAGCCACACACGTTTCGGGTTCAGCCTTAAAGAACTGTTTATGGAATAGTCTCTCCATTTCATACCAAGTAAAAATAAAATTCCCAGGAAGTGTGGAGTACCAAGTAAAGGTAGTACTTGTATGAGAATTAGGGAACAACCTGAGCTTGTAATTAGGAAAGTTGTATAGGTTTGCCAATTCTCCATATTGTATGGTAAACGATGCAATATGCTCCAAGGTAGACTGTCCTTCCTTACCAGAGAATAAAGCGAAGTTAGGAATTTTATATCCTCTAGGGATAGGATTTTCCATGTTAATCGCTTCAAGATACGATTTATAGAATTCTGGGAGGCCACTTTTTCTAAGGCCAAGTCTATAAAGCTCTTGCACAATATTCCTTAATGCTTCCACAGTAACCTTAGGAGTAAGAGGAACAAGCTTGCTTGCATCTAGAGCAGTTAAGAGTACTTATTGCTGAGATAAAAAGAACTGAAGACAGAACAGTTCCATTGGTATTGATAGAGTTACTATATTTGTAAATATTCTGTTGCTATAATTGTGCACTAGGTTTTGTACCCTAGGTGTACTTATATAAATAATAGGGGATTGTAATCTGAAGGTTACGAAAAGTACAAACACTTTTATGGTATCAAAGCCAACCTCTCTTCCTCTATTTCGGAACACTTCCATAGCTGAGAAAATCCATCCCGCCACCACCATCACTAATATGAAAAGACACATCCCTCTTACTTTGGATTATGAATCTGCTCAATACAACAATTGGGCAACTCTTGTCATCATTCATGCCAAGGCAACCCTAACCTATGACCACATTAATCCGAAATCTGATCATGTCACTTCTTCTCCTCCCAAATCTTCTGCTGAACAAGCTCATTGGGATCGTATTGATAACATTGTTCGTCAATGGATCTACGGAACCATATCTAGTGATCTCTTGAATATTATAATCAATCCAGACGACATAGCTTTGGATGCTTGGAATCAATTGGCGGAATTATTCCAAGATAATAAAACTTCTAGAGCCATTCATCTTGAAACAAAATTTGCCAATACTAATCTGTGTGATTTTCCGGACGCGAAGGCGTATACACGCCGTCTCAAAGTTTTAGTCGATCAACTGGCAAACGTTGGTGCTAAAGTCTCTGATCACCGTATGGTATTACGCCTACTTACTAGACTCACAGATGCGTATGAGGGATTTGTTACCGTAGTTCAGAACAAATCTTCACTCTCTTCTTTTGCTCAAGTCAGATCTATGCTTCTTCTTGAAGAAACTACTAAGGCAGAGCGAGCTAAACTTGATGCTCATGCCTCCTCTGCCATGGTTGTCAAAGCCTCAACCGTCTCTATGTCTAGTCTATCTCAAGAGCCTGATCAGTCCACCAAAACTTCCACTGGCGGTCGACGACAAATTTATCAGCAACGTGGTGGACGTGGGAACAATTCAGGTGGTCATAGGCGGTCAGGAAATAGTTGCAGGAATTCTGGAAATTCTGGAGGCCGTGGCTTTCAACAGCTGCCTTGGGGCGGATGGTACCCATACTCACACCAGCTGCCTCCATGGCGACCTCCACCATGTCCTTATCCAACTTGGGGTGCTTGGCCACCACCTTCAATGCCAAGACAGCAGGGAATTTTGGGTCCACGTCCATCTCAATCCTTCTATACGACTGCCTCTTCTACCAATGATTATGCTCCAACGGATATTGATCAGGCTATGCACACTCTTTCATTGAAACAACTCGAAGAACACTGGTTTATGGATAGTGCAGCTACCTCTCACATGACTGCTAATCCAGGTAATCTCACTTCTTATTCTCAATTGAGTCTCAATGATGGTATTGTTGTTGGTAATGGTAGCAAAATTCAAATTCGTGGTTTTGGTCATGCACTTTTGCCTCATTTTAGTCCACCTTTGCATCTCAAACAAGTGTTGCATGCTCCTAATTTAATTGAAAACCTTGTTTCTATCCACAAATTCACTGTTGATAATATGGTTTTTGTTGAATTTGATCCGTTTGGATTTTCTGTGAAGGACTATCCGTCGGGGAGCCATCTGCTGAGATATGATAGCACGGGTGACTTGTATCCCATCACCAATCCAAAATGCCTTCCTTTGTCTTCTGCTCAGTCTGCGTTTTCTGTTCTTTCATTAGCTCAGTGGCACAATCGTTTGGGTCATCCAGGACAAGATGTGCTTATGTCGCTTAGGCAAAATAATTTGATTTCATGTAATAAAGACAAAATTACATTTTGTCATTCTTGTCCTCTTGGAAAATAATTGATTCATGTAAATAAAAGACAAACTTACATTTTGTCATTACTGTCGCTCCATTGAAAGCTATTAGACTTCCATTTGGTGATTCTCTTCTAACTACATGTATGCCCCATTTGACATAAATTCATGCAGTGATTTTATGGACTTCACGCTTTGTTCTAAGCTCAAATGGTCATTCGATATTATTGTTGTTCTTGAATAGTTTTAAACAGATTTTCTTATGGACTTTTCTAATATACATAAAATCCCAAGTTTTTTGGTGTTTTTCATCTTTCATAAGATTTGTAAATGCAAATATTGATAGACAATCAAAACAATTCCTAATTGATAATGGTCGTGAATATGACAATGTAGTTTCATTAGAGTTCTGTAAGAAAGATGGCTACTCCGTTGACGTTGAATGTCTCTAGTGAGACTGTGGGAAGAACACACTCTTCTTTCCTCAAATGGTACAAGCGGAACGAAATATAACTATTAATGGAACATGGTTAGCACACTATTTACTACAGGCTCTTCTGTGCCTTCTTTCGTATTTGCATCAATAATGCGTTAGCGTATGGCCACTTATCTATTTAAATATTCTCGCCACAAAAGTGTTAGGATATAAGCTCTCAGGCCACCAAAGTACTGTTAATCGATTGAAATAAATACCACTTTGTACTGCTCATCTTGCGTATTTTGGTTGCTGTGTGTTCTCCATTTATTTCCGTCTTCTCAAATTCACAAGCTTGCATCTCGATCCATCCATGTGGTTTTTTTGATATCCATTTCTAATCATAGAGATATAAATGTTATGATTTGTCTTTTTAGAAAAATTATTCTTTGTCGTCATGTTCAACTTGATGAAAGTGTTTTTCCTTTTTCTAAAATTCATAATACCCTCTCTCTACTTATGATTTTTAGATGATAATTTGACACCTTAGCCATTTCATAGATTGCATGCAACTCCTTCTATTGCTCCTCCAACTTGCACCTTTAACCAACACACGACCAGCTGCCCTACCTGCTATATTTTCATGCTCCACTCTGCTGTTACAAGTCCGCGCCAAACATGCCTAATCCACAACGAAGAATTATACAAATCAGCCTTGCCACCCACCAACGTGCTCAATCTCTCCAACCCGAACTGCCGCCCTACCGATGACCAACAGTAGCCATCTTTTAAGCCGAACCTCAAGTATACTCAATCCTTTCATGTTACTACATCTATTTCTCCCTTACCCACTAATCCAATTTCTGCACTTAAAGACCCGAATTGGAAACATGCTATGTTAGATGAATTTGAGGCTTTAATTAAGAATAAGACGTGGGATCTTGTACGTCGTCCATCTAATGTGAATATTATTCGGTCTATGTGGATTTTTAGACATAAAAAGAGATCTGATGGTTCTTTTGAGAGGTATAAAGCCCGTCTTGTAGGTGATGGCAGGTCACAACGAGAAGGAATTGATTGTGACGAGACTTTTAGTCCGGTTGTTAAACCTGCGACTATCAGAACAGTTCTTAGTCTTGCTATTTCTAAGTCTTGGTCTATTCATCAACTAGACGTCAAAAATGCTTTCTTGCATGGAAATCTGAATGAGACCGTGTACATGCATCAACCATTGGGTTTTAGAGATCCTTCTCGGCCGAATCATGTGTGCTTGTTAAAGAAATCACTCTATGGTCTCAAACAAGTGCCGCGGGCATGGTATCAGCAGTTAACAGACTTTGTTGCAACCATTGGTTTTGTTCATAGCAAAATGGATCACTCTTTATTTATTTTCAGTCATGGTTCCAATATTGCCTACATTTTGCTCTATGTTGATGATGTAATTCTTACAGCTTCTTCTGATGCACTACGACGGAACATCATTACATGTCTTAGTGCTGAGTTTGCTATGAAAGACTTGGGACCTCTTAATTATTTTCTTGGGATTGCTGTTCATCGAACAAAATCCGGTTTATTTCTGACTCAACAAAAATATGCCGCTGAATTATTGGATCGTGCAGGTATGTTTACTTGTAAACTAAGTCTTACACCGGTTGATACTGCCGGCAAATTGAGTGCTCAATCGGGTGACTTATGTTCGGATCCAAAGCGGTATAGGCAACTAGCGAGTGCTCTGCAGTATCTCATTTTCACAAGACTAGACATTTGCTATGCTGTTCGACAAGTATGTCTTTTCATGCATGCTCCAACAGAGAAACATATGAATGCATTAAAGAGAATTCTGCGATATGTTAAAGGCACCATTCATTATTGTTTGCATTTATCCAAGTCCACCAATAATTCCTTAATATCCTACACGGATGCGGACTGGGGAGGTTGTCCTGATACACGTCGTTCTACTTCGGGGTATTGTGTGTTTCTTGGTAATAATCTTATTTCTTGGTCCTCCAAACGACAACCTACCATCTCCAAATCAAGTGTCGAGGCCGAATATATAGGTGTTAGCAATGTTGTGTCAGAATCTTGTTGGCTTCGTAATCTTCTACTGGAGCTTCATTGTCCTATTCGAACTGCTACTTTGGTTTATTGTGACAATGTCAGTGCTATCTATTTGACCGGAAATCCAGTACAACATCAACGGTTTATTGTGACAATGTCAGTGCTATCTATTGACCGGAAATCCAGTACAACATCTTCTACTGGAGCTTCATTGTCCTATTCGAACTGCTACTTTGGTTTATTGTGACAATGTCAGTGCTATCTATTTGACCGGAAATCCAGTACAACATCAACGTACTAAACACATTGAAATGGATATTCATTTTGAACGAGAAAAGGTCCAAAAAGGCGATGTGCGTGTTCATCATGTCTCCTCTCAATATCAAATAGCAGACATCTTTACAAAAGGGCTTCCACGAGTTCTCTTTGATGATTTCAGAGACAGTCTTAGTGTTCGTCCCTCTACCGCTAAGACTGAGGGGGTGTGATAGAGTTACTATATTTGTAAATATTCTATTGCTATAATTGTGCACTAGGTTTTGTACCCTAGGTGGACTTGTATAAATAGTAGGGGTTTGTAATCTGAAGGTTACGGAAAATACAAACACTTTTAGGTATATCTTGACTGCCCCCAAGCCAATTGTCACCCGGGCACCTAGTGGACAGGATGGGTTACAGGATTTGCATGACTGTGGATATGAGGAATGTAACACCCACCGCCCAGCCCCAAGAGACCCGACGGTGGATGCCACAGACCGGTGGTACTATTCACAGACCGATAAAACTACTATTTCAGGCATAGAAAAATCAGGGCGTTACAAGGTAGACCCTGAGGCCTGCCAATATGATGACTTAATTGAAGCAATGACTTAGAATCAAATGTCACCTGCTTCTCCCTCCTGTATGGAGGCTGGTGCCTCTCCCTAGTTGGACACGATTTACATTAATGCCCCCTATGGAACCTTGAGGCAGGTGCCCCTTAGGCTCTCTATTATTCTTGGAAGTAGAATCCACTTCTTTAAACCCAGTCACCAATTGACTAATAGGTGATGAAACAACAGGAGATCCAAGAGCATGATACTTCTCAAATATCACTTTCATCATTTCTAAGTGAGTCTTTGTATACTTTGCCAGACCTTTCTTTAAGACTTCAGTAATAGAGAATGAATTAATATCAGAAAAAGATACAAGAATCGACTTACCATGATTCTGGTTCTATTCAGCAACCAATATACATTTAGTTTCTATGCTTTTGGGATTGGGAGTTTGAATATCTTCTTCCTCCTAAGGATTAGATTCTCCTTCAGCATGTTTCATGTTCTATGGAATAAATTTTCAAGACCTACAACAAGTCCTTCATCCGAGTCTAGCAACTTCCTTTCCAAAGTGTGTTTTTTCGAAGCATTAGTGAGCCTTAGCAATAAGAATTTAGAGACAAAAAGATTGAAAGTAGTAGCAATAGGTCCCACAGAGCGTGCCACTAGTTGTTCGTATTGAAAAATAATTACGAACTGATTAGCAATTTAAGTGTATCATATATTAAGGTCTACCAACTATAAATTGTGTCAATCTAAACTTCTTAATTAGAGGACTGAAAGGCTTGGTTCTACGATAAACGCTTCACTTACTACTAAAATAAAATAGAAAGTGCTTGAAAAATAAAGATTGCGGAAAGTTTTTATAAAAGGAAGAAAATGCTTGAATTAAAAATACTTTATGAATAATAATTGAAATTGTAAAGAGAAATTAACAGCAACTTGAAAAGAGAAATACAATGAACATTAAAGAATTTGAAATTGAAATTTGTTGGAGAATTGTAGTTGAATTTAATCTTTGAGTTTGATTTTTAGAGTTGATTGTTAGGTTTTCTTCTATATTTGAGCTTGACTTTTATAAAGCACTTGGTGGTTATCACTTCCACGAGCATAACAACTCAACCGTTCAGGTAATTTCTGTTTATCGTGCATCATATGAGCAATTTCTTGATTCCTTTTATTAACCAACCCTACTAATTTCCAAGATATCAATTTTGCTAATAATTAATCAATTAACTATGGGCATTTAATATCTAAAAACCAATTAATTAGTTAAAGCGAAACTATTATTAGATCCACAATTTGAGCCCTTGGTCAATAAAAATTTAAATATGGTGTAAATACTTATTTTTATTAATTTTATTTTGGAATAATAAATTATAAAGAATTTTTTATATTTTTAGCGAATCATGAATAGGGTTATGTGGTTCCTAATAAAAATCGAACAGAACCTACTGAAATAAAAAAAACCATGTTATAAGAACCAGAGCCAAAATAAATTACCTATTGGTTCTAATTCTTACTAAGTATCAAACTGAAGAACCAATTAATAAATATATAACTTTAATTTTTAGATATATTATTTAATTTAAAATTTTAGAACAATTATTATTTATTATTTAAATTAGAAATCATATTACTATGTACTAATAAATATTAAGGAGACGTGAGACTCTTAAGTGTAATTGATTGAAATACACTTCATTAATCGAATATTAATAATGAAT